TCTTTCAATGAATAGCCACAAAATATAATAACTACTACTGAAATATAAATGAATTTTTCTATAAAAAATAAACCTTTATTTATCCCCCCCTTTTTTTTAAACCTCAGGTTCTTAAAATACCATTTGAACTTTGCCTACAACCAAGAACTAGCAAGTCTGCTCTAGGAACAGGATTTAAAAATTTAAAAACCTTGCTCCACAGAACATCCCAGCTGGTTTTTTTTTTTTTTTTTTTTCCTTGAAATAAAATACCAAGTATTTTCCTGTGATAAGAGATAACATATCATCATTACAGTCATTAAAATAACTCTGATTTTTTTCTATTATGTCATTCACATTTAATGATTTGAGTTCAACTTAATTGCAAAACAAATATTAGATACTTATGCTTCATAAAACAGAACTCTTAGTATCTAAGCCTGAATTTAAACCAAAGTTTTCCTAAAACACATACACTAATGATTTTAAAAATACTGATAATTCTTATATTGATTTAAGAATGTATAAAATGGAAAATTTATTGGAATACTGAATGCATAATTCACTTCAATACATAATTTATCTTCTTTTAATATGTTACATTATTTCAAAAATTCATATATACAGTTTCATTTTTTAAAAGTATGTACTATACTTAAGAAAGATCTTCTCAAATGATGTTGAATTTTAATGATGGCTGTTACATTTTTCAGTCAGTTGTACACTTCTATCAGAAGCAAAAATGTTTTATTTACTACATTCCACCCTTTTGTAGTTCTTTGAATACTGTATATATATTAATAAAACAATTTGAAGGACCAAAGTCCATAGCTATCCTATAACAGTTAATATGCATGTATGATACAAGCTCTTGATCATCCAAGGTGACCTTGGTGTATATTACTTTGAATAATCAGTCTATCATATAAAAAAAAACTGAAATTTATTAATTCTTGAAATTATTCTTAGCATAAAGAATATCAAAATTTTCTCAGTATCTTGCACAGAAGATCACCCACCCTGTGAAATTCCTAAACAAATATGAAGTTAACTGAATAATATTACTACAAACTGAACATAAATTTCAGAAGTTTTTTCCCCACCAAAATATACTGAGGAATGGGTACTTGCCATTTTATTTACCATGTTCACATTCTAGGCGCCTAAATAAATGTAATGAATTAATAGAAAAATCAAATTAAAATTCAGTTCAAATTTACATGGACTAGATTTTTGAACTATTTGAAATTCAATTCTGTTGTAAAATATATTAACATTTAATTCTTATATTATTTGGCTAATTCCATTTTTTAAATCTTCATATAAAAATTTAGAAATGACTACAGATTAAGACAACTCTGACCAAACTGAAAAAGAATTTAAAAATTCTGAAAATCATTAGAGATTGAGGGAATGGAATTTGCCTAATTTAAGTTTAATTAATTAAATACATTCCATTTATTTCTGAGAAACATTTTCCTTTGTTAAGACTAAAAATTAAAAAAAGGAGAGTAGGCAGCAATGAATTATTCTTCAATATCAAAATGTCCTAATTTCCATACTGGCTTTAGTTATCTATTAAATGAAAGTCCACAGGAGACATTCAGATAAATTTCTAAAATTACTACACTCAAAAGTCTTTAATCCGGACTCGTCGGGACTTCGGCGATTCCGGATTACAGATCATCAATTTAAATCTGGTAAGATGGCATGAAGAAAACATAAAATTAAAAATATGAAAACTTAATTTATGAAATAAAGAAGCAATTATGATCTAAAGGGTATTAAAATATACAATAAAAAATTATTTATTTGTTTACTTTATTAAACATTTCTTTCAAACGCGCATGCGTAAAGAATACATTACGCATAGTCGAAATTAGAAAATTGCAATCAGAAAACTATTTGATGTGTATCCGTAATATAATGACGAGAAATTTGATTTAAATCATATCAAAAACGGAGTACATTGAGATGAAATACTACATTTAGTAAGGAATTATAAGCCGAATAAAATAAAAACATCTGCCCTGAATATAAGGATAGTGCTGACAGATCAACTTCCAGTTCATTGTGCGCCGTGATGTCCCCCCCCCCCCCGCAGAGAGATGTAAAATTGATAAACAGATTTTGGAATGGTTAGAGAAACAAAGGATATGCCTTTATACATTTTTTTGCAGCAATTCCACTTTTTGTTTGATGGACATCAAAACATGCTTTCACTTTGTAGATTCTTCGGCAGCTCCAGAATCAGAAATTCTTTTTGACATAATCTAAAGTTCAAGCTTACTTTTATAAAATTGCTCTAACAGTCCACAAAAAATAATAAGCCGGATCCAATTAGAAGATTAAGGAACAACGCAATCTGCAACATTAACTGAAATAGATAATTTTAGCTTAGCTTATACCGTCCGTTATACATTAAACGCGCATGCGCAGAAAGTTTGTAGCTTTGAGGTCCAGATCATTTCGGATTATGGACGTCCAGATTAAAGACTTTTGACTGCATTCTTATAATGGAAAAGGGATGGTCACTGTATGCTGCAGAAAAGCTTCTCGAACAGAAAGGTGATGATAAAGAAAAACTAAGTTATTTTATGAACTTGAGCATACTCTCTATAGCCACACTTGGAAATTTTCATTTGGGGGGGTTGGGGCGGGGGTTAAAAATCTATTATCAACTGTGCCACTAAAACGAAAGGTAAAGTTCAATAGGAAAATTTTTTACAAATAACAGCAAGTTTAACGAATTAATCAAATGAAAGAAAATCCAGAATGACTTAAAATTTACACACATGCTCAGACATTCATACCCAGAATTAAAAAAAAAATTTTTTTTTGTCAATAATGAAATTCTGAATTTAGTTTCAGTATTGCATGATAATCAAAACCAACACTTAAATGTCACTAACATATTTAATGAACTTTTGTCATTATGCAGAATGATACTGGCACAGCTACAACACACTGATTTTTACTTGAAAGAAATGCTCAAATTTTTTTAGTATGATTAGTCTTCATACGCAAATGACATATTCTTTAATAAATTCATTTCACATTTTGTTCCAATTGATCGATTTACAAGGAAAAAATTTAAATTATGGACATATCCCATATAATTAGCAGAATTCAGTAGTTAAGGTCAAACATTTCACCAATCTGTTTAAGCCTTGAATTTACCAATAATGATACTATAATTAAGGCCTTTTTACGAAAAGTTAACTTCTATGCAATCAAATAAAGCATGTTAACCTGCAAAACAAGGCACAGAAGTCAAACTTGAAATCTGAAAAATAGCAAGACTTTTGGGAGAAAGAAAGTAAGATGCTTCGCCAAAAATGGTACAACAGATGCCAAACGGAATATCTCCACTGGTAACCTTTTACGCTCATCTTCAAAACATATCGCAGCCATTTTTTTTATCAGATTGATTGTTTCTTTCCAGTGGCGTAGCTAGGATTCCAGCGCCCGGGGACAACTGAAGAATTTACGCCCTTTTCTATGTGTCAAGAATGCAAAACATTCATTAAAAAATTTCGTAGCATTAATTTGGCGCCCCCTGGGACAGATGTCCCCTCTTGCCCCACCCTAGCTACGCCACTGTTTCTTTCAATACTGGCATACAATTACATAGAATTTTTACCAGAAAGTTCAATTTTATGCCCTAATGCCATTCGCGGTATTTAAGTCAATTAGGATGCAATCACACAGCTCAGCGAAGGCGAAAATATAGAAAAGATAAAATCAAGGGTTAAATTCATCAATTCTAATGAGAATGCACTAGCGAAGTAAAGTACTGGGTTTTACATAATTCTTAAGTAAGCTTCGTACGAACTGAAATAATACTTGCATTTAAACTTGTATTCCATATTAAAATGTAACTTGAAATTATTGTAGATAATTACTGAATCATTGAGAGAATTAGATTTTTGTAGTGTAGTTTGAGCAAAGAATTACGTGAAATGAGATCACTTGGGTTCACCTGATACGAACCTGCGAATCAGGATGTTGTACCATGAAAGCATAGTAAATTCTTAATGTTTTTTAAAAAATTGTCTTTTTACAAAACTTTAAACGATATTAAAATGTTTATGCCTTTAAAATAAAAAAAATCTTAGAACCAACATTTTTTGACAATTTGTATGTATATTATGTGTTGTCGCCAATAAAGTGCGCTTGGCGAGATTTGCGCCGGCGAAACAGAAAAGTACCATACTGATTTATACAGAAATATTTTAATGCCTTTATTTTTTAAATTTCTTCCAAATGAATTCGTTCTTAATTTTATCCAAAAAATTAAAGATTAAAATTGCGATTTAAAAGGTCTACCAGACTTTTCGAGAAATGAAATACTTAGCAGAGAATGCACAGCCTATGTTAATTATAATTCTGAAGAGAAATTCTTGCAATTAGAAAAGCCACTCACTACCTTTCGAATTGAAACCTTTTCCCGACTGCGATATTTTAAGTTTAGAAATGAAAAGGCAGATGTTACTTATGTCTGGATAAAAGGTAGAGTTAAAAACTGCAAGCAAAAAGTAAAATTAGCTTCTATAATTAACAAACATTCGAAAGTGAATTGTTGGGCATTAAAATAACACAAACAAGAACTAATTATCATACTTATTCAAAAAAGGTAGAAAGAGCAAATTCTATATAGACTAAATAAAAATAATATTCACAGGAAAAGTGCACAGCAAAAATGGATGAGAAAAATACACATGTAAGAATAAATTTTCAAACCTATACAGAACTGCATGACGAACAGCAACAACGAACTAGCTACACACAGAAATGGCATTTTTCTTGAATCATTAAATTTGGCACATAATCAGATAAAATAAAAATTTTTACACGTAAAAGGCAGAATTTTTAATGAATGCAAAATAGAATATAATAAAAAATTCAGTAATTAAGATCAGAAAATCTTTTACCAATCTGTTAGGCCAAGTCTTACCCGCATTAGTTTTAATGAATATTCTCAACAAATCGCATCTCAATCTGTCAAATAAACTGTGTTAATATGCAAAACAAGATATTAAATAATACAAACAAGAATTGACATATTTATTCAAAAGAGGCATAAAGAAGAACAATTTTTACGCAAACTAAGTAAAAATGGTGCATTTACTAAAAATTTTCTCAAAAATTTACCAGCACAATAAAAAGAGACATTGAGGGAAAAAAAATAAAAAACAAGAATTAATTTTTATATCTACTCAAAAAAAAAAAAATGCAGAATGAGCAGCAGCAACACAAAACAAAGTAGACAATTAAAAATAGTAATTTTAATGAATCGATCATTAATAATGAAATTCTGGGCCACATAATCAGAGATAAAGTACAAATTTTCATACATAAACAGCAGATTTTATCCTACAATATGATTCAGTAATTAAGAGCAGGTAATATTTTACCAATTTCCTAGGCCAAGATCTTACCATCATTGGTTCTAATGCATTTTTCAACAAACAGCATTACACATCTGTCAAATAAACTGCATTAATCTGCAAAACAACACATTAAAAGAATACAACTAATTAACATATTGGCTCAAAAAAGGCATAACGAAGAGCAACTTCTACACAAATTCAGTAAAAATGGCACATTTACTTGAAAATATCCTCAATCAAAAGTTTACTAGTAAAGCTTTTACATGTGTTAGAATTTTCGTGGTTACTTAAAAAAAAATGGAAACAGTAATCTCTACACGACCTAAATGAAAATGGCGCATTTATCTAAAAACACGGTAATCGGCCAGAAATCTACCAGCACATAAAACAACAGAAATGAGCATGAAAAAAATATACCCATGCAAAAATTACTTTTAATATTTAATAATAAATATAAGATATAAAGCAAACACTTACCAGAGAAATAGAAACCTTGGTTATTTGACGAATAACCTGAAATTTGCCATTGCGCACATCTAAAAACAAACAACTTCAAATTAATCAAGCAAAATGTGTAAATTTGGAAAACAAGGTATTAAAAATTTATAGTAGAATTTTAGCATACTTACGGATCAAAATCAGACCACTCTTCATCCACAGTTCCAGAAATGAGAATGAGCCGATGACGCCAAATTACTTGGCGAGAAAGTTATTAGTAGATCTTCATGCAACCCAGAGAATCTCGTAACTCCTCCCATTTTCCCCCCCTTTTTTCTCGTGAAGATAACCTGTCAACAACGAATTCCTTCATCTGAAAAGGTAAAAAGACTTGGCATAAATGCAGGATACTCGTAATTTGTGTTTACATTTCCGTTGCTAACGTGTGGAAGTACTTGTCAGTCTTTACGCTTTTCGTATGTTTTTATAATTATTGTGAGATGAGTAGCAGAGTGCAGCGTCAAAAAAACGACTGAGAAATATCCGTTGTTTTGCTGAAATGATGGATGAAGTCATACCCGGTATAATATCTTCTTATATTTTAAATTCACAACCTTGAATCTTTTCATATCTTAGAGGTACAGGCGCTTAGGTTATGTTTTTTTAATTACAAAAATCGAGAGATAAATTTGTGTAAATTGTGCAATTTTGTAAATGAAGAAAAGGACATTTATATGAATAAAAGCGTATATGACTTGGATTTATATTATTATTGAATATTGTCTTCAATATTATTTATTAGCTTGCAGTCATTATTTGTTATTATCTTATACCGTATGATGTATGTAATTTTTCGCATATCCTTAATACTTCGGAGTCAGTTTCTGCATACTTTCTGTTTCAGAACTCAATTTGTTCTTTGTATAGATCGATATACGGATAGATTTTCTTGTATATATCAGTGAAGAATTTTTCTTTCCCCATTAAAATAGTTTCTTGTTTCCTTCAATATTCAGTTGACCCCGGTTTAGTTCCAAATTCATTGCTGGGATAACATTCAACCCTTGTGCACTGCACGTTTGAGAAAATATGAGATGTTAATCCTCACAAAATGTAAAGATGTTTTATACTTCCTTATTTATAAATAAATTCTATAGACTCAATAAGTGCTGTCTGTATTTTCTGTGTTTGCTTTCTTGTCCAGTCTCCATCAAACAGTTAAATGTTCTGCTATTCTAGCGTTCACTTAACACATTAGATAGAAATAGGATTATTTTTTCCCATGTGTGCAATTCACATTCTAATGTTACCTGAAAATCGTTTCTCTTTTTATCTCCTTGAGAGGCAAAAATCGGTGATCTCACTTGGGACTTATTTAAATAATCTTGAAATGCGTATGGGGGAAAAGGTATGAAATTATAATAACATACAATAAGGCATAATTTTTTGTAACATACAATAAGTCGTAATTTTTTGCAGGAAAATTATGCATATAAATCAAAAGACTAAATTATTTGCTGAAAATGCTATGGAGAAATATGTGAATAAATGCAATATTCAGTTTAAGATTTAAGGCCTGGATCCTTGCCGTGATGGCGCGAATGATTTTGGTTGGCAATAATTACACCAATCTTGGTAACCCTACTTTAATACACTAGATACTCCATCCATAAATCCTTGAACTAAGGGTACTGTGCAGAATCGCCCATTTATATGCAGTGTATCGATGTATACATGGACCAAGTCAAAGGAGTGCATAATGGCAAGTTTGTGCAATTCTGTAATGTGTTTTTTTAAGTGAAAATAGGTCGATGTGTACATGGATACCAAGTTTGTGCAATTCTTTGATTTGTTATTTTCCAAGTTGGCGATTTTGAGAAACACGCGAAGCAGTGGGTGATTCTGCACTTTCCCAGTTTGTCGCCAAGGGTGTGGTCTCTCCTAGGATTTTACGATTTAAGAAACCTGATTTCTAAATTTACCCAAGATAATTCAGATGATTTGATTTCTAAATTTGGTTAATCTTTGAATTATGGTAACTTGGCGATTTTTGGCGAAAATTTGGCAAACAACCCTGCTACAGCAACCATCTACTTTTTTTTTCGGCGCCATTTTGTCTTCACGAAGTAAAGACAGTTTTTTTTTTTTTTTTTTTTTTTTATTATTATTATTTTCTCAACATTTTTTCCAACAATCTGCTAGGTGAATTAGGCTTATGCTAGAAATTTCATGGAACAAAAGTGCTTAATCGTGACGAATATTAACTGCAAAATTGGGAGAAAGTGCAGAATCACAAACTTCTTGCTGCGTTTTTCAGAATGGCACATACACGGTAACCATGTACACGTCGACCTATTTTTACTTAAAAAAACATCCCAGAACTGCACAAAAATGGCATTGCGCACACTCTTGACTTTAACCATGTACACTGCTTTTTTTCTCATAAATTAGAAAAATTTGCAGGAAAATTTTGTGAATATTTAAAGTCGGTAAAAAGGACATATATGAAATTACCTGATCGTGAAAAAGTATATACCCTTTCCAAGGATGAACATTTGCACGTATAAAATAAGTAAAATATCCAAAAACTTTTCCCTCTAAATTATCTATTATAAACGTCACCTGTGAATTTATAGCACAAACATTAAAAATGGTTGCAAATACTTAGTGTCAAATATTTAAATTATTTCCATGCACATTTACTTCTACTGAAACGTATTTCAAAATGCTACAAATATATAATTCACAAAATAACTATCATTTAATTAAAATATAATTAAATTAAAAAACACTTCTTAAAATATAAATAAACACATACATTAAATTAATAAAAATTAACTTAAAATCTTAATTACTTTAAACTAATTCATTGCTAATAAACATTTTCCAATAATAGCATATAAATTTATTCCTTAAAATAATATCCTCAAATTATTAAAAATACTAACTTACCAAATCTTCTACAGAATCTTGAGTGCATGGTGGATCACAAAATGTCCATTTTCACTAAATTTCTTACACCGTCATTCAAACTTATCTGTAATATCCTTCCTTTCACACAATCTCTCTTTTATCTCATTTCATTCGCACATGTTAAAAAATTCATACTTATCCGCAATTAATCCTACACTCATACACCATTCAAGCAATTCTTTTGTATTATCAGATAAACGCAATAAAAATTTCAAATTCACTTTAGATAGAGCCATGGGATCCAAAAATTAAGCAACACTGTTTCACACAACACAGAATGAAGCTAAATACAAAATGATATAAAGTATTGCAGATATTTTTCCAAATTTCCCCCCTTTTCCGATTAAAGAGCTGTCATTCGTCCATAGATGTCACATGACGTCTCATGATCTCTCATTTCTCTCAGACAAATAATCCATAATTGGAACTGAGTACTTATTGCCAAAGTCCTAGGTAGTAACCTGTATGGCCTACCAAAATGTCGCCAAACTGCCTGTTACCATATTCCAAAGATTAGCCCTAAATATATCCACTTTATATCACATTTCATTTAGGTTTACTTTTCTATTCTCATTATCAGAAATGCTAAATAATGAAACAGTGTTTATCTTAATAAATCAGTGGATGCCTTTTTAAGTAAGGCTAATCTTTGGAATATGGTAACAGGTAGTTTGGCGACATTTTGGTAAGGCGATAAAGGTTACTAGCTAGGACTTTAGCAGTGTACATGGATAAAGTCAAGAGTATGCGCAATGCCATTTTTGTGCAATTCTGGGATGTTTTCTTATGTGAAAATAGGTCGATGGATACCGTGTATGTGCAGTTCATAAAAATGCGGCAAGCAGTGGGCGATTCTGCACTTTCTCCCAATTTCGCAACTAATCTTCGTCATGATTAAGCACTTTTATTCCATAAAAGTTCTAGCATAAGCGTAATTCGGCTAGCAGATTGTTGGAAAAAAATGTTGACTTCGTAAAAACAAAATCGCGTCCCAAAAAACAAAAAAACAAAACAAAAAAAAAAAAAAGCCTTTACTTCGTGAAAACAAAATGGCTTCAAAAAAAAAAAAAAAAAAAAAAAAAAAAAAAACTAGCAGGTTGCTGTAGCAGAGTTGGTCGCCAAAAATTCGCCAAGTTACCATAATTCGAAGATTAACCTTAAGTAATCTTGATGTAACCAATTGTGCTTTTATCAAGTTTTTAGCCCAAAGGGGCAATTTGCCCAAAAGGGCTAGTAATTTCATTCTGGCATTTTGTTTTGGTTCTCTATAAATACCATTTCATTTTTCAGATTGTTGCCACCAAATATTAGGTCCGTGCATTATATTTAAAAAAATTAAAAAATAATAAAAAATCTGCATGAATATGTGTATGTTTCTCACACTGTGAAAAAAACGACAGTACGTAGAGACGTCAAATTTTGAATGACATAGTCCTCCACTCGAATATGGGCATCTGGAAGCCCAAATTTAGAATTTGTTTTATCATCTATTTCATATTTTGTAAATCTTCAATGAATTTTGACTAACAAGCTCAATGATTTCAAAGCAAAGAATGGCAACACTGTATAGAAAAAAAAAATACATTTTTTATCTCCAGCGCACAAGACTCTGCATAGAAAATTCTAAAGATATACTCTTTTAAAATTATTTTCTGATATTGCTGTTGAATTGAATTTTATGGTTTAAGTACAAGGAATATGATATTTAATAAATAAAGATAACACACAAAATATTACAAAAATGCCCCTTTGGGCTTAATATAAAATCTGAAGGCTTTCAGTGTTTTTTTTTTTTTTTTAAATTCTTTTTTCATCCAATGAGCTGAATTTGTGCTGCCAAGCTTGTTGAAAATATAGTGTCTGGTACTTAGAGACTGTGTGCAATTATTTCTTCATCCAAAAAGTAGAATTCAGTGAGATAATTATTATTTATAGTTTTTAAAGCTGCTAAGCATATGCTTGGTATGTTTTAAAACTACATTTGGTGTGTACTGTATTTATTCGAATATAAGACCGGCCTTTTCAGTCCAAAGGAGCGTTAGCCCAGAAGGACCATTAGTCTCGGAATGGCATTTTGCATTGAATTACTATAAATGGCTGTATCAGTTTTCAAATTGTTTTTGCAGTATTTTTGGTTCTAAAATTTAGTAGGATCTTATTATCAAATGCATTGACAAAAAAATTACAGAATAAGAGGAAAAAGTTTAATCATCATACAGTGCATTATAAATTATGCTATTTTAGATATAAGATAAACCACACATGTAATTATCATATATGTAAATTGCATAACTACTGTTAATTATAACTGCTGTATCTGAGCACTTTCAACTTAATCTTGCATCTACGATATTGATCATTAGTATGCCTGAAAACAAATAAGTAATATCAATTTAGAAGTCAAACATCAGAAATCAGCATTATAGTTGCAAATTTTCACAGGACTAGTTTGGATGGTTTTACTGAATCATCATCCTTAATACTGGAACCATACCAGGTTTGGTACTTCCCGGTATGGTTCCGTTACATAGATGATACTTTTACCCTGTGTGATGGTAATAAAGATGATTTAAATATAGTTCTTTCAATAATGAATTCCATTGATCCT